CGGGCGGTCCCGAACCCGCCGCCACCGCCGCGCTCGCTGCCGCTGTCCCCGTCCGCCATCTTGTCCGCCCGCCCCGCGCACCGCCCGCTTCCGGCCCCGCTGCGACACCGCTGACGTCACCGCCGCACCGCCGCCGTCACGTGCGCCGGGGGCCCCGCCCTCCGCGTCCCCGCGCGCCCCCGCCGAAGCCCCGCCCCCCAGAGGCCCCGCTCCATTGAGCGCTGAGCTCTGCTCCTGGCTGTCAGTCACGGCCACGGCTGGCTCCTATTGGCCAATGAGGCCCAGGGCTCCGCCCCCGATGAGCCCTGCCCCTCAGCCCCTCCCCACACAAGTGTTCTATTGCGGCACAGCCCCGCCCCCTGGCTGTCAATCACGGCCAGGCAGCGGCTATCGATCCCTGGAGCCACGCCCCCAGCTCCTCCCTTCATTGCGAGCGATTCCCGCCCTTTCCCGCTGTCAGTCACAGCCTCTCACAGCCCCCATTGGCCAGTGACGCTCACAGCTCCACCCCCTGCAGCCGGGGATGCATGATGTCATGGTCGGTCAGTGTGACATCATCGATGACATCATCGATGACATCACAGCACATGGGGCCACACTTTGGATGAGCGACCTCCGGGTCCTCCCTGGCCTGCCCAGAGCCCTGAGCGGAGCCTGGGGAGCAGAACCCACATCTCCCCCCCGGTATGGGACGACGTGCCCGAGGGGAGTCATCACGTCCGGCACGTGTCACCCCTTAAAGGACACCCTGGGACCCTTCAGAGACCTCCTGGGGCCACTTGGGATCACCTGGGAACCTTCCGGCTTCCTCTGGGGATCTCCTGGCATCTGGTGGGGCGCTCCGAGTCCCCTCAGAGGAAGACGGAGCCACAGGTCCCTGGCAGGATTGGCGCCCTGGGACCCTCCAGCAGCAGCAGGAGGCTCCTGCCCACAGAGCTGTCACCCATGGGACAGGCAGGCACAGGTCCAAGTGGACAAACCAGCCTCCATGGGGACTCTGGGGGGTAACCCTGTGTGTGCGGGGGGCTGTGATCTCTCCAGGAGGTTGTGGGACCAACCCAACCCCCCCTTAGTGCTCAGGGGCTTCTTTTGGGGTGGGGCATGCCACAGGCTGGGCAAGGACACCCAAAGGGGACAAAGCAGCGGTGAGACACACAAGGCATTCCCCCTGCAGCTGCAGCCAGGGCTCCCCTAATCCCAGGACAGAGGGACAATGAAACGGGGTCCCCCCACCCCAAATACCGCTCCTAGGCCATGGCATTCCCCCCAGACCCCTCCCCACTCATGGCCTGATCCCCCCACCCCACTGCCGCCCCAGCACAGACAAGAGTCAGGCTCTCCACACAACCTCTTTATCTGGGCCGATTCAAAGGGCTCAGCAGGGCCCCGGGATCCCGGGGAGCTGAGGGTGGGGGTCCCACGGCCCCTCAGTGGGGCAGCTCATGGGGGATCAGTTTGTAGTGGGCACCGCAGGAGGGGCAGCGCTGGGCCTCGCCCTTGTGCAGCCAGAACCAAACCACGTAGCTGTTGTCCTCCTCACCTGGGGGCACAGGGAGAGCGTGGGGGAGAGCAACAGGAGACCTGGACACTGTGGGACAGTGCACAAGGACAGGAGGGGATGGACAGATGGACAAGGGACAGGAATGGACCCACCAACACCACGGACAGGCATGGATGGACACACGGACCCGGGGACACACGTGCAGGAGGACAGACACATGGACACGGGGATGGACATAAGGACACAGGGGCAGCACAGACACACGGACAGGGATGGGGGGCACTCACAGACACAGCCCACGATGCGCTTGTTGCTGATGGAGGGGACGAGGTTCGGGTCCTCCTTGGTGCCCGCGTAGCGCTTGGGCCGGAACATGCTGTACGGATCCTGTGGGCGAGGGGTGAGCGAGGCCAGCCCCAGGCTGTGAGCACCCCAGCACCCCCATCCGCCCCTCAGACCCCTCTGAGGGCAGCCTGGCCCCGAGAACCCCAAACTGACCACCCCACCCTGGCATCCCCCAGTTTCATCCCCAAGACACCCCCAACTCTGAGACCCCCCCAGACTTTCCCAACAACTCCCCAGCCCTGGACCCTGCAACCCTCCAAGGACACCAAAACTCTGAAACCCCCCTCCAGATGACCCCGCCACCATCTCAGTACTCCCCAAACCCCTTGGGATCCCCAGATCTCCTCACCCGTTATCCCTCAGACCCTACCCCCGCCAAAGGCACCAAAACCCTGAAATAACTCCAAACCCCTCGCCACTCCCTGGGCCCCCCTAGGACACCCTGTGACTTCCATTCTCCCAAACACCCATTCACCACACTCTGCCCCTCCAAGGACAGCCGAACCCTGAAACCGCCCCAGAACCCCCGGGATCCCTTGAGAAACCGCAGCGTCCTGCAGAGCTGCCCCCATCCTCCAAACCCCGCGGCCCGAGCCCCAGCACGGGGTCCTCCCGAGGTCCCCCAATGCCCGGCACTCACCAGACCCTTGTTCACGGCCTCCATCACCTTCCGCTCCAGCCCGGTCGCCTGTTCCTCATCGCTGGCCAGGTTCCCTGCGTGGGGCCGTCACACCGCGGCTGCAGACACCCGGCCCCGGTCCCTCCCCGCTCCTTCCTCCCCCGCTCCCTCCCTGCTTCCCCGCTCCCCCGGTCCCTCCTCACCGGGCACGCCGAGGCAGCGGGCGGGAACGGCGCGGGCAGAGGCCGCGGGCAGGAGCCGCAGGGCCGCGCTCACCCGCAGTAACCTTGAGGCCATGGCGGCGAGAGTGGCGGCGCTTCCTTTACGGGCGGAAGCGGAAGTGACGTCAGGGGAGGGCGGGGCAGCGCGGTAGAGCCCCGCCCTTGGTCACACCCAGAGTATCTGGCCCCGCCCCCGTGCGTGGCCCCGCCCCCGTGTGTGGCCACGCCCCCGTGTGTGGCCACGCCCCCGTGTGTGGCCACGCCCCCAGTGCGGGACTTCTGGGGCGGGGGGGTCCCCGAGATTTTGGATGGGAGATGGGACCCCCGTGGGAACAGGGACAGCCCTGGGGACAGGGACAGCCCTGGGGGGGACAGGGACAGCCCTGAGGGACAGGGACACCCCTGGGGGGGACAGGGACACCCCTGGGGGCGGACAGGGACAGCCCTTGGGGGACAGGCTGTCCCTGTGACCATGAGGATGGGACACCCCTGGAGGGATGGGGATGAAAGCCCCTGAGACCCTGGGGACACGAATCCCCGGGGGTACACGGACGGTGTCCTGTGGCGGGGACATCCCGAGGGACACGGACAGCCTCGGGGTGACAGTGCCGGTGTCCCTGGAGACCTGGGGACAAGGCCAGCGCAGGCACTGAGGGGTGACATCCCTGCGGTGATGGGCACAGATGGCCATGGCGGGGAGGTGACATCTCTGGGGCCACAGGGACAGCCCCGGGGGGACAGGGACAGTCCTCGGGGAACAGGGCCGATGTCCCCAGGACGATGGGGGACACCCACAGAGGGGTGGGGACAGCTCTGGGGGAACAGGGACAGCCCCCCCCGCCCGCCTCCTCTGCCTCAGTTTCCCCTCCCCTCGCTGCTTACTCATCCCTATCGATCCCATCGATCCCACCGGGCGGGGGGGGGGAGGGTGGCCAAAACAACCTGTTTTTCACCCAATTTTGTGGCCCGCTCTGATTTGAACCCCCGGCTGTGAACCCAGCACCCGCGGGTGCTGCGGGGAGCGGGGGTCGCGTCCCTGCCCCCCCCCAGCCCCCAACTTCATTTGGGAAACTGAAAATAAAATATGGGAAAGCCGCGGGGGGGGCCGGGGGTGGGCGCGTGCCAGGGGAGGAGGAGGAGGAGGAGGGCAGGACAGGACAGCCGGACACGGGCGGCGGGCGCAGCACCCGCTCCACGCTCCCGCAGCACCCAGCGCTGCACCCCCGCAGCTTTGGGGGGGGGGAGAGCCCCCAGTCCCCCCCCAGGGGCCATGGGCATCCAGGGCATGGAGCTGTGCGCCGTGGCCGTGGTCATCCTCCTCTTCATCGCTGTCCTCAAGCAGTTCGGCATCCTGGAGCCCATCTCTGTAGAAGGTACCCCCCCCCCCCCCCAACCTTAATTAATCTTAATTATTTAATTAAATGGATTCTCAATCCCCCCATCCCGGGGTGTCCCCGACCCTCCTCCCAGCACCAAATGACCCGCTGACCTCTAACTGGTTCCTGTGGAGCAGAACCGGCTGCTTTTGGGGTTCCCCCTCGGGAGGGTTTGGGGTGGAGGCTGAGGATTTGGGAGTGCGGGGGGAGCGGGCAGGGCCCCCAGGTCCCCTCCAGCAGCGTCATGGCCCAGCTGTGCTCCGACCTTCCCCGAGGGGCTGCGCTGCCCCCCAAACACCCGGAGGGGTGGGCACCTTCACCCCAGAGACCTCCCCACTCCCCACTCCCCGTTAATTCCTAGAAGCAGATAACGGGGACCCCCAGTGACCCCCAAACCTTCCCAAGGTGGGCTGGGAAGGCTCTGAGCTGGTGCTGACCCCCAACAAGCCCCCCGAGATGGGGTTCTGGGGGACCTCGACCCCACAGTGACCCCCAAAACCTCCAGAGGCGAGACACAGGGAGCCCCAAATCCTGCATCAGCCCCTGAACCTCCCCTCAGACGGGACATGAGGGTCCCCCACTGCCCCCTAAAACCCCCTGAGATGGGACATCAGGGACCCCCAATCCCCCCCAAGTCCCTTGAGACCCCTCACAGCAGGAGCTGGGGGTTCACCCCCCTCTGACAGTGCCTGAGAATTTTCCAGGCTCCCAATCCCATCCCAAAATTGCTGACACCCCCCTTTGCTGAGCAGCTCCACAGGGGCTTCCCAGGCTGAAATTATTAATGAACCATCATTTATTAATTACCTTCCACCGGGCCGGACTGGAGCAGCAGTGGCTAAGAGGCGGCTCGGGAACGTTCTGCACCTTCGGGATGCTGGAAACGCCTCGGGATGCAACACCCGCGGTGTTCCAGGGTCCCGAGGGGGATTCGGGGTCTGCCGAGGCGCTGGGCCCTAGTTTTAGGGGGACGAGGGCGGTTTTAGGGGGGTGTGGGTGGGTTGAGGTGTGGAGGGGGTGTTCCTAAGGGGGATCTTTGCCCGGGGCTCTCTCCTGGCAGACAGCGGCGATGCCGACGTGGAGCTCCCGACCATCCGGCACCAACCCGAGGGGCTGGAGCAGCTGCTGACTCGGACCAAGTTCACCAAGTCGGAGCTTCAATCCCTCTACCGTGGCTTCAAGAACGTGAGTCTGGGGGTCCGACACCCCAAATCCCTGGGTCCCCACTTTCTTCGGGGTCACCGGCGCCGCTCCCCTTCCCAGGAGTGTCCCAGCGGCCTCGTGGACGAGGAAACCTTCACGCTCATCTACTCGCGGTTCTTCCCTCAAGGCGGTGAGTCGGGGGGTCCCCAAACCCGGCACGAGGGTCTGGGGGGGCCCATTGGGGAATGCCCCGACCCCAGTCCCGGGGGAGTCACCGTGCCCCTTCCCCCGCAGACGCCAGCTCCTACGCCCACTTCTTGTTCGACGCCTTCGACGCCGACCGCAACGGGGCTCTCTGCTTCCAGGTGGGAATTCCTGGCGTGAATGGCTGTGCCAGCACCGTGATTCATCACATCTTTCCCCTCCTCCTCCTCCTCCTCCTGCTGCTCTTCCCCATCCCGGGCTGTGGCCAAACTCTCCCTCGCGGGTGCCGGGAGCGCCGGGCGCTGCGGCACTGGGGGTAAAAATAACGGGATCAATAGGGAACGAAATCCCTCGGGCGCCCCGGGATCGATGTGGCAGCGGGAGGGAGGGGCAGGGGGTGAGGGTCCCTCCCCTCTCATGGCCACGACCCTTCCGGCAGGATTTCGCGGTGGGGCTCTCGGTGCTGCTGCGGGGGACGGAGCAGCAGAAGCTGAGGTGGACGTTTGACCTCTACGATGTGAATAAGGACGGCTACATCAGCAAGGAGGTGACAGTGGGGGACACTGGGAGACACTGAGGGGGCTGATGGGGTGGGAATACCCAGACGGGAACCTGCCAGCTCCCTGTGTCCCCCAGGACATGCTGGAGATCATGAAATCCATCTATGCCATAATGGGCCGCTGCACCGAGCCCGCCCTGGGGGCCAGCGCCCCGGCCCAGCACGTGGAGCTGTTCTTCCAGGTGAGACTGTCCCCTCTGTCACCTCTCGGGGCCACTCTGCCGCCAAGGGTTGGCCCCACTCAGGCCTGGCCACTCCCTTGCAGAAGATGGACAGGAACAGGGACGGCGTGGTGACCTTCGAGGAGTTCCTGGCCACTTGCCAGGAGGTGAGGGGCTCTAGGGGGACACCATCCTCCTCCTCCTCCTTGTTCTGTCCCAAAGTGACGTGCTGGGGACACCAGGAGAGAGGAGGAGAAAGGGGTCACCCCAGGAGGGATGGGAGCGGGACAGGACAGGAGGGACAGAGGGAGAGGCACAGGAGTCGGAGCTGTGAGAGGGATGGGGGGGGATAAACAGGATTGTGATGGGAAATGTGGGATGAGAGGGGTGGGGACAGGAGACGGGGACAGGATGAGGGGAAGAGGAGGGAGATGGCAAAAGGGTGACAAAAGAAGGAGAGCTGGGAGCAGGGGAAAGGGGACACGGGGTCTCTGCTCTCTCCTCCCCAGGACAAGGACATCATGAGCTCCATGCAGATATTCCACAACGTGCTCTAGACCCCAGCCCGCCCCGGAGATTTTCTACTATTTCAGGCAAACAAGAAGTTCAAAGTCAGGAGAAATCCAGCATGTGGCTCCCTGAGATGGGATAGGACAAAGACAACGCTGCCAGCAGAGCCAGCCCAGCACGGTGCTGCCACCTGCCAGACAGACCCATTTTGGGGGGCTGAGCCTCCCCTCGACACGGACCCCCCCTTGGCAGTGCAGGGACCTGACCCAGCACAAACCCGACCCCAGGGCCTCCTGGGACATGGGAATTGCCGGGGTGTGAGGACCCTCAGAGGTGGGACCCCCCAGGGTAGGGACCCCCCGGGATGTGGGGGCTCTCTGGGTGAGGGTCTCCACATCGCAGCCATGAAATGGAGCCCCCAAACACCAACCAGAAGCACACAGCCCCTCCTCCCCACAACACTCAGGGGACCCCCTATGAAGCCCCCTCACCCAAGAGCGTGGAGAGGGGGGGAATTTTATAAATAAACCAAATAGTGACGATTTAGGGGTGAAATGGAGTCAAGAGGGATGGATGTGAGAGACGCGCATCGTCCTGGTCCCTGTCCTGCTGTGTCCCCCTCCCTGTTCCGCTCCCGGTCCTATTCCCCGTGCCTCTTCCATTCCCAGTCCCATTCCCATTCGCATCTCCCGGTCCCGGTCCCGGTCCCGTTCCCATTCCCACTCCCGCTCCCGGGGCTCCGCCCCTCAGCCATCTCCTCTCATTGGCTCTCGTTGGCCTTTTGCCCCGCCCCCGCGTGCTCCTATTGGACACCACAAAGGGGGTGGGGTCTCGGCGCGGCGACCTTCAGGCGGGCAGGGGAAGCGTCACGTGACACTCGCCGGGGCTCGCAGCGCCCCCTAGCGGAGCGGGGGAACAGCCGAGTGTGAGACCCCCGGGACCCCGGGATGGGGGAACCCCTGGGAACGGGGGAATCCCTGGGAACGGGGGAATCCCTGGGAACGGGGGAATCCCTGGGAACGGGGGAATCCCTGGGAACGGGGGAATCCCTGGGAACGGGGGAATCCCTGGGAACGGGGGAATCCCTGGGAACGGGGGAATCCCTGGGAACGGGGGAATCCCTGGGAACGGGGGAATCCCTGGGAACGGGGCACTGTGGGACTGAGGGGGGTATCCCTTGGGTCGGGGGCATTCCCGGGATCGGGGCTGTGCGGGATAAATGTGGGAATCCCTGGGATCGGAGCGGTACGGGATCAGGATGGCGTCCCCTGTGACTGGGGGGGTTCTGGGGATCGCGACCCTCGAGCACTGGGGTCGTGTCGGATCCCCCGGGGTCGGGGCCAGGTGGGATCGAGGGGAGGGTTCCCCCGGGTGCCCGGATTCATCCCGAGCCGAGGGGAATCCTTCGGCCCCGGTTTCCTCCGGCGGGATCCCGAGCCCCGGTGCCGCAGGGGATGCGCGGGGCGCTGCGGCTGCTGCGGTTCCGGGGGGCCGCGGGGCCCCGGCTCGGGCTGGAGGAGGCGCCCGGGGGAGACCTGGTGGATCTGAGCGCGGCGGAGCCGGAGCTGCCCCGGTCCATGCGGGAATTCCTGGAGATCGGCCCCCGCGGGCTGGAGCTCGCCCAGAGGTGGGTGAGGCCGAGGGTGGGTCCCAAAGGTGAGCGATCCCCACCGGCGGCGGGTCCTCCAAAAGGAGAGCGAGCCCCAAAAGGGGGTATCCTCGTGGATCCCCACAGGAGTGGCCACCCGAATCTGCATGCTGCTTTGGATGACCCCAAAGTGGGTTACCCTCAACAGCTGGCCCCCCAAAAAGATGGGCACTCCAAATCATAGGTGACCCCCAATGATGTGTGACCTCCAAGAGTGGCTGACCCCAACAACTGGGTCCCCTCAACTGGGGGACTCTCCAAAAGGAGAGTCCCTAAAATACAGCTGACCCTTCTGAATGACCCCCCAAAAGTTTGTCCTCTGAGAAATGGGCGTCCCAAAGTGGGGCTGATCCCAAGGGTGGATCTGTCCCCACAGAGCACTGGAGTCGGGACAGCACCGGGTGCCCCGGGCCACTGTGCAGCTGCTGGCACCCATAGCAGACCCCGAGAAGGTGATCTGTGTGGGGCTCAACTACCACGACCACTGTCAGGAGCAGGGCGTGAAGGTCCCCAAGGAGCCCCTCATCTTCAGCAAGTTCCCCAGCGCCATCACCGGGCCCTTCGATGACATCGTGCACCCCGAGGACACCAGCGTGGGTACCCCGGTAGCCACCCCCACGGCCCCCCAGGGAAATGGCCCTCCCAGCCCCACTTCTGTCCCCACAGGAGCTGGACTGGGAGGTGGAGCTGGCTGCCGTCATTGGGAAGAGGGGGCGACACATCGAGGTACCCCCACCCCTGTCCTGGTCCCCAGCTCACTTTGAGGGGTCGGTGGGAGTGTCCCCCTGCCAGCAGGTCCCTGTTGTCCCCAGGAGGCAGCGGCGCTGGAGCACGTGCTGGGTTTCACTGTGGCCAACGATGTGAGCGCCCGGGACTGGCAGATGCGGCGCAACGGGCGGCAGTGGCTGCTGGGGAAAACCTTCGACACCTTCTGTCCCCTGGGGCCGGCCATTGTCACCAGGGAGGCGGTGGCAGGTGGGACAGGGATGGGATGGGCGGAGAATGGGGATAGGACAAGAACAGGACAGTGATGGGATGGGGACAGGACACAGATGGGATGAGAACAGGGCAGGGACAAGGCAGGGATGGGATGGCAACTCTTTCTCAGCTGCCACTGGTGCCACCACATGTGTTTTTTTACCCAAGGTGGGGTCATGGTGGCACTGTCCCCATGTCCCCCCATGTCACCTCCCACAGATGTCCATAACCTGTCGATCCGCTGCAGCGTCAACGGGCAGCGGATGCAGGACAGCAACACCCGCCACCTCATCTTTGGGGTGCCCACCCTCGTTGCCTGGGTGTCCCGGTAGGAATGGGGGGGGCTGGGGACCCCCAAAGCCTGGGTGGCCATGGCTGACACCTCATGTGCCCCCAGGTTCGTGACACTGGTCCCTGGGGACATCCTGCTGACAGGGACCCCTGCGGGAGTGGGGGTCTTTCAGAAACCACCGGTTTTCCTGAAGGTGAGGGGAAACGGGGGCTCAGGTGGGGCTGGGTGTGAGTGGGGACAGAGTGGAACCCCCTGGGGACAGATGCCACCATGTCCCCCTTTGCAGCGCGGTGATGAGGTGCAGTGTGAGATTGAGGAGCTGGGCACCATCTGCAACCGGGTGGTCTGATGGGGGAGAGACGCCCCAGACCCCATCTGCCCCACAGGTCAATAAATCCACGAGCCACTGGGTCACTGTGCCCCGTTTATGGGTCTGGGGGGGGGCTACAGCTGGGTGAACTGGTGGATAAAGGCTCCCAGTTTCTCTCGGTTGAAAGCAGACTGGAAAGGCTGGGAGAGCTGCAGGAGGCGTCCAGTGGGGGACTGCAGCTCCTCTAGTACCTGGGGGGGCACAGGGAGGTCAGGACGGGAGAGAGGGGGCAACAAAATGTTAGGGGGCTGGGGGAGCTGTGCTTACCCCCATGTCCTTGAAACTCTGCAGGGAGCTCAGGGCCAGGCTCCTGTCAGGATACCCTGTGGGGAGAGAGATCCCAGGGGAACCCCCAAATGCCACCTCTCAAGAACCCTTAGCCTGGTTTGGGGGTCACTGAACCCTAAAAGCAAGATCCCTCCACCTTGACTCACCATCCTCATCCTCAGCCAGGAATTCCAGCAGTGCCTCCACGTAGTCTGCCTCTGCAGTGGGGAGGGGTGTCAGATCCCACCTCCTGGGGGCTGCAGCCGTGCCTCAGTGGCCCCAGGGAGTCCCAAGGGATTCCCCACTTCGGGGGGGTCCTACCGGGCTGGGGCCAGGGGGGTCGCTCCAGGAATTCCACAGCCCGGCTGTAGGTCTGCAGGATGGGGCTCAGGAGGCGGCAGAGGAAGAGGAGGAAGCCAGGGAAGCCCTGGGGCTCGCTGAGCTGTGGGGGATAAACGGCCAGATTTGGGGGAGACCACCTTCCCCCCAGCCTGGGGGGCAGTGGGGGGAGCCCCCAGTACCTTGTAGCACTGCTTGGGGACCCCGTGCTCGCTGTCACTGTCGCTGTCATCAGTGAAGGATCCCAAGGAACGTCCCCGCAAGAAGCCCTGGGGGGCCACGTCACAACCCCAGCGTTCACTCTCTGGCTATGGGGATAGCAGGGTGTCACCTCACCTCGAAGCCACCCTGTCCCTGTGCCCCAGGAAAGGTCTTGGGGTGTCACCCACCTCCTCCTCCTCCAGCAGCCCCCCAAGGATGAGCTTGTCCAGGATGTCCAGGCTGTGGCAGTCTGTGGGCTGGCAGGGCTGGGGACACACGAAAGGGGTGACAGGCTACCCCTGGGTCCCCAGCTGCAGACCCAGCAGTGTTGGGGATGGCAGACCACCCCCATGTCCCCACCTGGAGCCCCAGCAGGGTCAGAGGCAGCAGCTGCAGCAGCTCCAGGATCTTGCGGAGCAGCTCATCCCGGCTCAGCACGATCCTGGTGAGGCTGGAGGGGGGGCCCAGGATTGGCAGCACCTCCAGCAGCAGGGCACGGATGGCACAGGCTGATGGGACAGACACCAGTCCTAGAGTCACCAAATACCCCAGCATCCCAAATCCCCAGTGAACCCAACTCTCCTGACCTCTGCCATCCCCAATCCCCGCCTTTCCCATTCCCCAGTGTCAATAATCCCCTGCATCCCCAATTTCCCCAGTGCCACTTACCCTGGTGACACTGAATTCCCGAATATCACCAATCTCCCTGGCATCACCGATCCCTGGTGTCCCAAATCCCCATGTCATCAACCCCACGATATAAACAATACCCCTGATGTTCTCCAAACTGCAGCCATCACCCATTCCCGGTGTCACGGATTCCCCCAGTGCCTCTAAGCCCCGGTGTCACCAATTCCCGTGGCATCCCTGCTCCCTGGTGCCACCAGTGTCACCCCGTCCCCCCTCCCTGGTGTCCCCACTCACCGCCCACGGCCTCCCTGGCCAGGTGGTGCCGGACACCCGCTGCCAGCCGCCCCAGCTGTGCCCGGGCCGAGGCCTTGGGGGGCCCCAGAGCAGCCCTGGGGGGCCCCGGCGGGTGTGGGGCCAGCAGGGGCTGCAGCTGCCGCAGGCTGTGCCCCAGCAGCGCCCGCAGCTGCCCCGAGAACCCCACGGCCCGGCCCCGCAGCAGGAGCTGCTCCAGCAGCTCCGAGAAATCCCACATCAGCCGGGGCAGCAGCACCACCTGGGGAAACAAAGGGGGATTCTGCTGGGGATGCTGTTCGGAGGGAAAGAGGGGGTGATTCCCACTGGGAATGCTGCTCTGAGGAGTGAGGCCCATTAGGACTACGACTCCATGTTAAAAGAGGGTGATTGCTCCTGGAATGCTGCTCCCAGGGAAAGGAGCGTGATTCCCACTGGCCACGCTGCCTTATGGAAAGGGGGGAGTCCTGCTGGGAATGCTGTTCTGAGGGAAGGGAAAGATGGAAAACTCATCCCACCTCCTGGTGTCTGTGGAGCAGCAGCGCCGCAGTGATTCCCACAGCCGTGATGGCAGAGCAAGTGCTGGAATCTGCAGTGGGGGAGAAGGACTCGTTTTCCAGAGGGGATTAACCTCCACCCCATTCCCAAGCAGGGAATGCCATCCCAAGGGATGCAGGAAAGCCCCAGCCCTCCTCACCACTCAGTGCGTGCAGCCCCAGCGCCGTCACCAAAGTCTCCTCTTCAGTCCCCAAGCTGGGACTCAAAGTCCCCACATTCCCGACATCCAGCGGGCTGAGGAGTCAGGATGAGAGGTGAGGAGAGAAGGCAGGAGCAGAGATCCAAGGGGAAACACTGCCTGGGGCTCGGCTCCTCACCGCCTGCCCAGGATGGTGGGAAGCAGCAGCTGCTCCGGATGATTCCCTGTGAGGACTGGCCCAACGAGGTTGTTGTCCACAAATTCCTGGGAATGAGGATGAAGAAGCCTGTGGGTGCTCACAGCCTTTAGCATCATGAGCTCATTTGATCCCGGGATCCCCAGGATGGATTCACTCGATCCCCCCAGACACCTCAAACCCCACCAACATCCCAGGAACAGTCTCCCAGTGCCGGGATGGATCCAGGGGGGTCCGCAGCTGCCGTACCCGTAAGGAGAAGGGCTGAGAGAAATCCACCCGGGCACATCCAGGGTGCCGGCGCAGGGCCTGGAACGCTGCCCGGAGACACGTGCCGATCCCAAGGGGCTGAGGGGGCTGCCAGGAGATGACATTAAGAGTTTAATGGCAGATTTAGGGGGATGCCACTCCCCAGGGATGCTCCCAGAGATCTGGAGTGATGCCTCTCCCTTGGGATCTTCCCAGAGATTTAGGGGAACAGTGCTTCCTAGAGGTTTTGGGGAACACCGATTCCCAGGGACAGTGTCAGTGATTTGGGGGAGCACTGCTGAGCCCCCTGGCCCCCTCTCACCAATTCATCCTGCTCCACTGTGCCGGGAGCCACATCATAGGCAATTCCCACCGGGACGATGAGGACGTCAGGCACAGCTCGGTCCCGCAGGGCCCGGAGCACGCGGAGCAGCCAGCACCGGGCAGGCTCCGCCAGCTGCAGGGAGCCTGGGGGCTCCTCCAGGAAGAGGATGAGGGGCTGGCGGCTCCGCAGCAGCTCCTGGATGTACTGGGGAGAGACTGGGAGTACTGGGAGCTGCCAGCACCTCCCCAAACACTCCAGAGAGATTTTTCAGCCCAAACTACACCTACCATATCCAGCACAGCCCCCGGGAGCTCCTCATCCCGGGCACTCCGTGTATGTACCATTCCTGAAGGCAGGAAAATCCCTCCTAGGCGTTGGAGCAGGGATCTGGTGAGGGAAGGACACTGTGGGCAACTACTGCATCCCTCTGCATCCTCTGGGAATATCCCACAGCGCTGCCTTACCTGAGGCGAGGGCTTGTCCAGGCGCCCACCATCACCCTGGGCAGCCCGATCCTCTGGGAGAGAAGCACGAAGGACAGGAGCAGCGCATCCACCTGGGACCGGTGACTGCACAGGAACACCAGCGGCACCTCGGGCTGCAAGCGAGGGATCCTGGGGTGAATGCCCAGCGTTCCAGGGGCTGGGAGTGCCCGGCCGGGCCCCTGGGCTCCGTACCGTCCTGGCAGCTCGCAGCACCATCTCCAGCTGCCCCCGGTGCAGCTGCACGCTCAGGAACAGACGGGTCAGGAGCTTGGGGAGCAGCCAGTGGCACAGCCTGTGGGAAAACTGGGAATGAGGAACTCTCCCTGCCTCAGTTTTCCCAACCCATCTCTGCTCAAAATTCTCACTTTTATCACACAGGAAAGGTTGCATGTGACGAGACATCCTCCTTTCCACTGGCAACCATGGCTGCCATCAGGAATCCTGCATTCCCTCCATCTTCCTGTCCCACCCTGGGATCCCCAAATGCTCTTATTCCATGGGGAATTTCTTATTCCCAGGGGAATACCTTCCCTTTAACAGTTCAGAAGTACTCTTTATTCCCACTGGATCAGACAAGCAATGAAGCCCCAGATTCCCAGCTGTCAGTAGTGGGATGGGAAAGGGAAAAGGAAAGTTTTCTCTGCTTCTCTCCTTCCTGCAGGGTTTGGATTTTCCCACTCCAGCTCCTCAGAAGGAATTGGGGGAATGGCCCCAGGAGCTACAGAGGACCCCAAGGGCAGCCAGCTGAAGGATTCCCAAAGGACCCTAAAATATCCCCCAAAGTATTCCAGCGCATCGCTGCAAAGGATCCCAGGAAACCACCCAAGGGATCCATGTGCATCCCCCCAAAATCCCAGAATATCTCCAAAAGGATCTGTATCCACCCCCCAGAGAATCCCAGAATATTTCTCCAGAAGATCCATGACCTCAGCAGCAGAGGGGAGAGCGGGGCCTGGATTTCCCCCAGGATCCGGGAAATCTCCTCCTTCCAGCGCCGCCGGGATCCCTCATCCCCTCCGGATCCAGGGTCCCGGCCAGAGGCAGCATCTTGCACCCTGGGGAGAGGATGGGAGGGGGAAGCACCCCAGAACCCACATGTTGTGATCCAGAGAGCCTCGGTGGATTCCAGGATCACACCAACCTGGGATCCAGGGACCAAACAGGATCTCCAGCCCCTCCTGGGTGGGTGAGGGTGATCCTGGGATGGCCCCAGCAGCTCCCACCCACCTCCTGCTGCTGCAGATCCGCACCAGGAGCTCCCCGGGGGTCTCTGCTGGAATTTCCCATTCCCAGGCTGCGAGGAATCCACAGACCCTACGGACCAGCCAGCCCCGGAACCTGGAGGGGACACACGGTGACATCCTGGCAGGGCGGGGGGAGCTTTTCCACCAGGATCAGACCCCCCAGACTGCCTCTCTGCCAGATTCAGGACATTTCTCCCCATTCCACAGCCGGAAATGTTGAGGCACCAGGGATTTCTCCTTCTAGGAGGAAGTGTCTGTTTTCCATTTTCCCTGTGAGCCAGAGAAAAGAACAACCCTCCACCTCCATGTTCTTCCCACCAAAATTCCAATTTTTGCTCAATTAAAGGCATGACCCCAAATCCTCAATTCCAGGACTGGAGCACAGCCCAAGCCCTCAGAGATGCCACTTCCAACCTCCCAAAATTGATTAATGAGCTCAGTTTGCGATAACGAGGAACTGGAGAGGATGGAGAGGGATTCCCACAGGAACTCTGGTGAAATATGGGGGGAAGTGGTTTTCCAGGTGCTTTCTGCACAGAGCTCATCCATCCTCACCGCGTGTCTGTCTCCGTCACACGGCTGACATCGCGGAACCCGAGAGCAGCGAGATCCTTGGGATAGAATCCATCCTGGCAGGAAAAACGGGATCAATCCCTGCAAGTGCAGATCCTCAGCATCCCAGGATCCCAAACTCTCCTACCCAGCTCCTGGGGGTGCAGGTCTGGCAGCAGCGCCCCGAAACAGGGTGGTGGTATTTGCCCAGGAATGGGATGAAAACTTCCAGCTTTGGGCCCGAGTGGCTGATCCATGTTTGAATCTGAGGAGCAAAAGAAAAATGGGAAGGGGCATCTGGGAATGCCAAATGTGGGTGGATACATCTGAAAACAGGTTTGTGATGTGGAAGGTTTCAATAATGGCAAGGAATAAATGAATTTTAGCTGGGACAAGCTGGTGGCACATTTTGGTTACTGTTTGTACCCGGATCAACCTGGTTCTGGGGGATCAGCACCCCAGCAAGATTGGGCACAGGGTTTTCTGTCCCTCAGAGACACAGATCCAGCGGGATCAGCTGGGAAATATGGGCCTGAGGGAGCTCAGTGGAATCTGGGGAAACCCCAGACCCCTCATCAGCCCTTTCCACCTCCAGAGTCAGGGGGTACCCTGGAACACTGGGATTCCAATTCCTTGGCCCCCAAATTGGGATTTCCCCCCCTCCCTTTCTGAGGGGTGGGATGAACAAATTTTATTTCCTAAAAGAATAAAGGGGGGGAAAAAAAGTAAATTAGGGTTAAAATAGAGCTGGGGGAGAGGAAAAGAAGGGTAAAATGAGGGGACCCTGGTATGATTTGGAGAGGATCCACAAGGGGCAGGCTGGTGGCACAGAGGGTCCCTGTGGTGTCACATACCCTGGGGGATGTCATGGCTGGGGGGACACCCCCAAACTGGGGAGAACTAGTGCTCAAGGGTCCTGGGAAAAATCCTGTAGACACAAAGAAGTGGAAAGGGGGGTTTTGAGAGGTTTGGGACACACAGAACAGGGGCTGGGAAAGGGACCCCACGTGTGCTCCACACAGCCTGGAGGGACCTGGGGGGGATTAACACCCCACAGCTCCTATGGAATTGGGGGGGACAGCAGAGCCCACCCTGGCACCCCACATTGCACATCCCCTCCTTGAGGGATGGAACACACCCCACATGGCTTCTAGAGGGCCTGATGGAGGGAACACACCCCACACGGGCCCTGGAGAGCCCGATGGAGGTAACACAGCCCACAGGGGTCCTGGAGGGCCCGACGGAGGTAACACAGCCCACACAGGATGGAGGTAACACAGCCCACACAGGATGGAGGTAACACACCCCACACGGGCTCTGGAGAGCCCGATGGAGGGAACACAGCCCACACGGGCCCTTGAGGGCCTGACGGAGGGAACACAGCCCACACGGGATGGAGGTAACACAGCCCACACGGGCCCTCCAGCCCACCAGGCCCGAGGTGTGGGGGCAGCACCCCCCTCACAGGCACCACAGCCCCCATGGACCCTTTGGGTCACCCCCAGAGCGGGCCCACGCCCCCTCCCCGGCCCTGCGGAGTTTCGGGGGTCGCAGCCCCCCGGCCCCGGCCCCGCTCACCACAGACACCGCGCTCCGGCCCGGCCCCGCTCCGCCCCCGGGCAACCCGGCCGGAACCGGCCCCGCTGGAACCGCCCGGGACAGCCCCCACGGCCACCGGGGGATCCCAGCACCCCCGGGGCCAGCAGCCCCACAGCCCCGTTCCCCGGCCCTGTCCCTCCCACACCGCCGAACCCGGGGGGCTGCAGCGGCCTGGAAACACCAAAGAGGCCCCGATTCACCCGGGGAGGGCTGGCGGCCTTGCACCTGCGGGACCACACCTGGGAGCGGTACCCGGGACCCGCGATAAAGGATGGGATGGGAATGCCAGGGAAAAGGGGGAAAGCAAGCAAAGACAAAACACTAAATACGCACAATAACAAATAAACAAAATAAAAACCCCAAACAAACTAGGGAGAGGGCGCTGGGAGCTCTTCCCCTCCTTTTTAACTTGTCCTTTCTATTTCTTTCTTGGTTTTTCCCCTCCTTTTATGGAACATATTATTTTTCCTTTTTTTCTTGTCTTTTCTATCCCCCCCTTATCCCAGATCCCACTCCCAAATATGTTTCCACAGGTGCAAGACTCCCCCAGTCTCCCCAGCAGGTGACACCTCCACCTCTTCCCCTCATCCCTCCCTGGTCACTGCATCCCACCTGCACATCCTCCCTCTTTCTGGCATTCCCATCCCCACCCTGCATCTTTGTTCCGCCAAAACACCTGAAAAGGATTCCCCCTTCAATTTCCACAATAATTCAAGATCAGGAGAGCAGACCCCAACTTCAGGCTCTTTTTTCTCCATTTATTTTTTTCCATTCAGGAGCATTCCCACCCCTCAGGAATCATCTCCCTCTCAGGGGAACTAGGGCCACAACACTCCATTCTCACCCGAGCTCCCACTTCTCTCCTCCAAACCCCTCATCTTCCTCCAGATTTGGACTTTGGGGGCTGCTTTTCCCCATTTTTAGGGGCCTGGGGACATTCCCAAACATTGGCCCTGAGCTGCTCCCAGAGGGAGGGAATAATCCTTCCCCTCCTCCTTGCGGCTCTCAACCCTCGTTTCTCTCCTCCACAGCACCTTTTTCACCCCAAAGTGGACTCTGGGCACCCCCAGTTCACCTTTCCCCAGATACAGAGTCCAGTGGCAAATCCAAAACTCTTTTCCACCAGATCCCTCGTCTCCTCCCTTTAATCACTGTTTTGGGTGCTGACACCCCACAGTGACCCTGGGGGTTCTGCCACAGCCCAAAGTGGGGGATCACCCATTCCAGGCACTGCTGGAGCCAGGATGGGATCCAGGAACTCAGCACCAGCTTCAGGCTCCAGCTGGGGAGGGCAAGGACCCAGGTGGGACCCTCAATTTGGGATGGAGACAGGGACTATCCCAGTGGCAGGCTGGAATCATGGAATCTCCTGCTCCACCACCTCTTCCTCCTTTGCTTCCAGAGAATTCCACCTGAAGCACAAGATCCCAGCTCCGTGACCTCTCCCGGCCTTTCCCAAGCCCCCAAACCAGGGGGAACAGTGGTGTGTCTGCCTCCAAGGGCTGATCCACCAGCAGAACTCCCTATGCCGTGTCCCGGCCCTTGTCAGATCAGCCGGGAATCTCCCTCCAGCTCTGCCCCGGGGTCACAAAGGCCAGTGAAGTGGATCTGGGAGGAGAGAGGGGAGGGAGGCTGTAGGCCACAGCTCAGGTAGGCTTCCAGGGATTTCAGCAGCTGCCGTGGCTTCTTTTTGGTGGATAATTCCAGCTCTGGAAAGGTCAGAGGGGGAAAACGTTGAGGGAAGCAGGGCCTGCATGGTGTCAAGGCTCCCATACATTAGGTGTCCCGACATTTTCCCTTGGGTAAGGGCATGCTCATGCTTTCCCTGGGATGAGGAAGCACAGGAAGCCCAGTGCCAGCCTGAGCACCCTGAGATTGGAAAGCAGGGAAGATGAGGTGAAGATGGAGCCCAGATCCTGATTTCTGAGGGATATATTAGTTCCACTGACAGAAATCCTCTCTGGAATAAGTAATTCATGGACAGGGGCTAAGCTATAGCTCCTTGTGAGCCTGGGGAGCAGGGAGTGTCTGCAGCACCACTCACTTTGAGCCACCCTGTCACAGCATCCCTCTGGGGTGGAAAATGGGAGGAAAAACACTCCCTGAAGCACTGGGACAGGGAAAATTTGTGGGAAAACCTCAGTTTGAGGATTGAACTGTGAATGTTTGGATTTTTTGGGCATTATGGGCCTTGGCATTAAGCTGGGATGTGCTGAGAACACAGCGGGAGGTGTTTTGAGGTTGCTGTCCAGAGGTTGTCTCCCCAAGGAAAAGTGGGGAAGGAAAACCCAGGAAGACAAACCCTTGAGGAAGAAGCCAGCGTCGGCAATGGTGCCTTGCTGCTGCCTCCAGAGGCGGGAGAGCTGCAGGAAGGCAGCAGCGTACAGGTCATTCAGCACCCCGATCACCTGCTGCCGCTGGTTGCACTCCCTGCAAAGGGGGAGAGAGCTCAGCCACATCCTGGGAATGGGGAAGGACCCACAACGCAGCTGGAGACTCCAAAACCAACCCCCCTCACCGGGAAAGCCGCTCCTCCTGCAGCGCCTGGATGACAATCCGGGTGATGTTCACGGACATGATGCAGAAGGGAAAATTCTGGAAAACAACCAGAATTGCAGCATTATGGAAGCTCAGATGGAAAACTCTCCTCCCCTCTGGCACCTCCAGCCCTTTGACACCGCATCCATGCATCCACAAATCCATGGGATGGATCCATGGGATAAAAGCCCTACAGATCCAGGTTTGGATGGATGCTGGGGGTTGAGCCAGTCTTGTATCCATGCTTAAACCTAGACTAAAATCTGGAATTTAGGAACACAGGCTCCACTCACTCCCATTTACCTGTTGCCCAACTCTCCAGCCTGTTTATCCTACTCAAAGCCAGCATCAAATCTCTGAAATCCCATTCCCAACATTATCGGGCCTGGATCGGGGCTCTTGGGCACCACCTTCTTCCTCTCACAAGCACAAAGTGGTTCAGCATCCCAAAAAAACTCAGAAGAGAAGGTTTTTGTTCTTCCCTTTCCCAGAGCAGGAATTCCAAGGGAGACCCCCTTGGCAGGGAGGAGGGGGAAGGTCATGCCTGGGTTTCATGCTGGGAGAGCTGGAAAATTTCCCGTGCCAGTGGCAAAGTCCGAGAATCCAGGACAAAGAACAGGATCTGCATCAGCCCCAGCATTCCCGTCCCACGCAGGTCAGTCCCAGGATCCGCACCTGGGAAGGTGAGCGACAGCATGGAGTCACTCCCTGTCACCTTCCCACTTCCATGGGCTGTTCATTCCCTGTCACTGCACTTCCAGAGTCCAAGAATCCTGGGGATTCCCTTTCCTGAAGGAAAGCTTTCAGGCAGTTTCCCTAATGGGGCCATCATCTCGCTCATCTGAGTATTAACTAGCCCCTGCTCCAGCCCACCACTCCCATTCCCACACTTTTCCAGGTACTATCAGCCTTTTTAGGAACATGGTACTGGGATGACCCAGCCAACCAGTCCAGACGTTGTACTGGGGCCAGTTTGGTTTAATTCTTCTATGGATAAAGGGATTGAGAGTGCCCTTGGGAATTTTGTAGGGATATGGAGAGGTGATCAAAACCTGGGATCAGTTTTGGGGTCCAAGGAGGACATTGAGGAGCTGGAGCATGTCCAAGGGAGGCCAGTGGAGCTGGGTCTGGAGCACAGGGAGTGGCTGAGGGAGCTGGGATAGAACGGAGTTACTCCAAGGAAGGTTTGAATGGATTTTGGGAATGGCCCTGGGGATCTCCCCAGGCAGAGGGTTGCTCCCTCTCCTACCCTGGAAGCCCAGCTCCTCCCAGTGTGCTCCGTAGCGGGGGCAGCCCAGCCTGGAGCGTGTCAGCTGCTGGTAGATGGTCTGCAGGATCCGCATGTGCACCCGCTCCGAGTCATCCAGGGCACCTGCAGGGAGGGAGCCAACACCCAGCTGGCTGAAAACACTCTTGGCGTCTAAAAAACATCCCTCAGTGCCCCAAGAACACCCCTTGGCCTCAAAAAACATTCCTTGGCATCTAAAAAAACAACCTCATATCCTCCAAAAAAAAACCCCCTTGTTACCTAAAAATGCCCCTTGACACTGAAACCCATGCCCCATGGCACCCTAAAAATCCCCCTGGTTTCTCAAAAACACCCCTCAGCACCCAAAAGATGCCTCTTGGCACTCAAAAGATCCCAAACTCACCCCTCAATATTCTAAAAAACAGTGCCCAGAAAATGTCCCTCAGTGCCCAAAACCAAACCCACACCCTCCAAAAATGCCCTCACAGCACCTGAAAACCACAGCCTGGCACCTTAAAAACCCCCCCTGGTGCCCAGGAAAGGCCACTCAGTCCCCAAACCCACAGGCCCAGGGCTTCCATGTGTGTGCGACCCCCTCACGCCAAGGGACCGGGTGATTCCCATCCCGTTCGCCCCTGCACTGAGGGGCAGAAAGGCCATGGAGCCAGAGGGCTCCCACCTGGAGCTGTGTCCATAGGGAGCAGGGATGAGATCCAGCAGGGCACAACCCTGGGGCCACTCACACTGTGCCATGGCCAGCACCAGCTCCTGCTCTCCCCGGAGCTGCGGCCGGAGCTGGGGGGGCCCACGGAGGCAGCGGAGCAGGGCGGTCAGGATCCCCCGGCGCCCTGGTGTCCGGACCTTCCCCTGCAGGACAAACAGCCCAAACCCATCAGGGAACGTGGCCAGAGGCAGGGGGAGGGGGCTGGTGCCCCCAACTCCTACTTCCTACACTCCCAGCAAGGAGCAGGAGCCGGAGCCCGGCCGTACCCGGCTCTCGAAGAGCTCCGCGCTCTGGAAGTGCTGCAGCGCCTCAGTGAAGGAAATCGGAGGGAGGGGCGCGCCTGAGGTGCCCCCCAACCCTGCAGGGAGGCAGGGAGTGGGTAAGACCTCCACTTACCCCTGACTCCCCCCCGAATCATCCCTGATTCCAGGAGACTGAAGGTGTGGGGAACAAGGGGAAAATGGAACCTCCCACGCCCTCCATCGCAAATAACGCCCCCAGCTTCTCCCCCACCCATCCTGCCCTCCAGAACACAGCTCCTTTCCCTTTTCCTGGACCTTTCCAGTTGCCAGGTCTCTGTTAGTCCCAGTACCTGACTGGATCACTTCCAGAGCCTCCCATTCCTCCTGGGCCTGGCGCTGCTCCTCGCTGATCCCTGCCCGAGGGAAGATGTACAGGAGTCAGATCTGGGTAGCAGACATGGAGTGGGGGGGGGTTTCCTCCCTTCCCCCAAAACCACTCAGTACACCCTGGGGCTGTATTTCCTCTTTTCCAAGGAAAATCCCAACTGGAGCCATCTGGGGAACCACAAGGTTTATCTTGCATTAATTTGGGGAATAATCTGACACCAGACAGATTTGACTCAGACAATCCCCCAGCTTGCTCCCTGGGGTCCCTCTGAGCCCCGCAGCTGACTTTCCCACCAGGAAACACCACGATTGATCCAAGGGAAGCAGGAAAAGCTCACCAGGGTCTGGGGGCTGCCCTGCTCCGAGCACCAGCTCCTGCAGGACACCTTCCTGTCCCTGAGCTGGAATCTGAGGGGGAGAGAGGGAACAGTGTTACCCGCCGCGACAGACCCCAAACACCCCAAATTCCAAGGTTTTCCCCCAGGTAACAACCCCTGTGCACCGTGGGAAGGTGGCTCAGGCCCCTTCAGGGGGGTCTGTACCCTCAAGATGATTTTATGTGGTTGTAAGGGTAGAAATGGAGCAATGAGGGGAAGTGGGGGGGCTGTAACCCTGAGGTGGGGGGTCCCGCGGGTGTCGGCTGGGGGGCTCCGGCCGGACAGAGACTTGCCGGGGGGACAAGGCGCTGCTGCCGCTCCTCCGGCTGCTCCTTCGGCCGCTCCGAGCCCCCGGCGCCGTCCATGGCCTGCGGGACAGGAGGGGATCAGGCGGTGGTGGGAATGGGGCTGTCCTGACGACTGACACCCCCAGAACCACCCCACGTCCTCAGGAACCCCTCCGGGCCACTCAGGACTCTCCCATCCCTGGAAAGCCTCCTGCAGCCCTCAGCACTTCCACCCTTCAGGAGCCGTTCCCAGGCTCCCTTCAGCCGCTCGGGAATCCCTCAACCCGCTCGGGGTCCCCCGGTCCCTGAGCAGCCTCCCAACCCCTGAGCAGCCTCGTGCTGCCCTCAGCAGCCCCCAGACTCTGAGTGCCCCCCAACCTCTCAGGAGCCCGTTCCAGCCCCCACTCAGCCCACCGGACCCCTCAGACACCTCAGGCTCCCCCGGCCCCAGGCCGCCGCACTGCCCAGCCGCGGCCGCGCTGCACGCCGGGAGCTGTAGTCCGCACCTCCGACCGCTAGGGAGGGGAACACGGGACTACAGCTCCCGGCGTGCACCGCGCGAAGCGGGGACGGAGGCACGCGAGGGTCAGCACCAAATGAGGGGCAGGGGCGGGGCCCGATGGGAGGAGCGAAGTTCGGGGGAGGGACCCAGAGCGGGGCTCGGGGCTTTCGGGGTCTGCAGCGGGGCGACCACTCCCAGTGCCCAGTGCCCAGTGCCCAGTGCCCAGTGCCCAGTCCCACTACCTGCTGTCAGTACCAGCTCCCATTATCCCAGTGCCAGCTCCCGGTGCCCAGTGTCAGCACTCACTGTACAGTCCCAATTCGCAGTGTCCAGGACCAGCTCCCGGTGCCCAGCGGCACTTCCCAGTCCCAGCTCCCAGTGCCCGTTTCCTGTTTCCTGTTCCCGGCTCTCAGAATGGCAGTTCCCGCCCCCAGTGCCCAGTGCCAGCTCCCGTGCCCCCGCCCCTGCCCGGAGTCCGTGTCCCCGCTGTCCTCCGTTCTGGCTCCGTGGGGCACAGCGGGACTCCCGGACGGCGCACCACCATGTGGCTGCAGGCACTGTTCTTCCTCGTCCCCCTTCTCCTCCTCCTCCTCGTCCTGCTCCCCCTCCTCTCCCTCCTGCTCCCGCGGATCCCGGCCAGTCGCAACCCGTTCGCCACCGACAGCCGCCGCCCGCCCGCCCCGCTCGTCACCGACAAGGCTGTGCGCAGGACCGTGGTCAAGACAGGTACGGGACCCCCGGGGGCGGATTGTGCCATCAACAGCCCGGGGTGTCATCGCCCCCCGGGACAGCATTGTCCCCAGGGTGGGATCATCCACCGGGACAGCGCCACCCCCGGGGTGTCACTGATCCCCCCGGCTTGGCATTGTCCCCCCCCCCCCAGTATCACCCCGCGGTGCCACCCGCTCACCGAGGTTCTGGGGGTCCCCCATGCTGTGGGGTTCCCCCCCAGTGACGCCCTGCTCTCCCTGCAGTGTTCTCGGCAGAGAAGGTGCCCCAGGGGCTCGATGCCATCGTGGTGGGCAGCGGCATTGGTGGCCTGGCAGCCGCGGCACTGCTGGCCAAGGCGGGCTGGCGTGTGCTGGTGCTGGAACAGCACGGGAAGCTGGGGGGCTGCTGCCACACCTTCACTGAGAAGGGCTTTGAGTTTGACACTGGTATGATTCGGGGCCCCAAATTCCCCCAGATCCAAGGGAGGGGCATGGGATACCCCCAGGGTGGGAATTGCACCCCTTGGGGTGAGGACCAGGGCTCCCCAGCACGCACTTTGCATTAGACAAACCATTTTCCTGCTCTTCACCCCAAAATCCTCTGGGTGTAGGATACCAAAGCCCCCAAAATTCCCATATCCAGCCCCTATGTAATTCCCAGCATGGGGGATATTACCTCAGGACATATCTTGCTGGCAAACTTCTTATGGCAGGACAAATTCTGGCTCTGCATGTCCCTGAATCTCCAGGATTAATTATTTACAGCAGAGATGAATAGTTAAGTGTAACAAAATTCCAAAATTACCAGCTAAAAACACTGTGGTCAGCGCCATTCACCCCAGTTGGGAGGCAGGTGTATCCCAGATTTTCCCTTTCCCTCCCACATGGAGCTGGATGGGGTGGGAGTGGATAAATAAGAGGGTTTGATACGTTCTGGGGTGGGAAAATAAAAAGGGTGAAAATAAAGGAAAAAAGAGGAAAATAAAGGAAAAAAAAATGTCTATTTTAGGGATCCACTATGTGGGGCAGATGCAGGAGGGCTCCTTGATGCGGTTCCTGATGGACCAGCTGACAGATGGGCAGCTGGAGTGGGCCCCGCTCCCAGCCACCTACGATGCCGTGGTTTTGGGGGACCCCCAGGGTGGTGGGAAGACCTTCCACATCCATTCTGGGAAGAGGGAATATTTCCGGAGGCTGAAGGAGCAGTTCCCTGAGGAGGCAGCGGCCATCGATGAGTTCCAGCAGTTGCTGAAGGTAGAGGCATATCTGGGTGGAATAAAACAAGGGGAGTCACACAGAGGGGAACCCCCCTGGCACCTGGATACTGGGCACCCCCAGGGAGTAAAGCATCACCCCAAAGCACTGGGAAACACACACAAAATCGCCTCTTTCCGCCGCAAAAATGCAGCGTCACGGTGTCACGAGGAAGATTTCTTTCAGGAAGAAGTTCTTCAAGGAGTTGGGGCAGAGTTCTTTAAAGAAGTTTATTTAAAGAACCATTTGTTTAGGGAGCTTTTGGGGGAGTCTTTTGGGAGGACCTTTTTGGAGGAGTTTTGATGGGGAAGCTTTTTTGAGGAAGATTTTTTTTAAGGGAGGTTTTTGAGGGAGCTAGTACTCCCAGCTCCTCAGGATGCCTAGCAGTGAATTTAAGGGGAAAAAATGCTTTGGAGCATCTTTAGGGCATTTCTGAGCCCCTGGGCCTGCGCAGTGAGCCCCAGGCTCTCCCTGCAGAGCACTGGCCGTGGGGTTGCGCTGCTGGGGATCCTAAAGATGCTCCCACGGTTCCTGGCTGGGCTCCTGATCCGCTCCAGGCTGCTCCCACGCCTCTGCTCCTTCTCCCACCTGGCCTCACGCAGCCTCAAGGAGGTGGTGGATGGTCTCACCTCCAACCCTGAGCTCCGGGCTGTCCTCTGCTACATCTTCCCCACCTACGGTAGGTGACCAGGAGGCCCTGGGATGATATTAAACCCTTTTAGAAGCAGAAAAAAGGTAAGAACCCCCTTTTTTACACGCTTTTGGAAGGTTTGCAGGGACACTATGGTGGATGCTTCACCAGCATCCTTGCCCCTAGGTCACTGGCAGGTGACATGGCCCCATTGTTCATCTCCATCTCTTTCCCTCTGCCTTCTTCATCTTCCCCATGGGGTGACATCGTTCCTGTAGAAGGGAAGGTTCCTGAGCCTCCCTGTTCCCTCCATCCCATCACCTGGGTTTTTACTCACAGCCCCCCATGGCTTGGTCAGGTTGGTGATCACGGGCTTTGCCACGGGGACACCCACACCCGACGTCCTCCCTTCTCCTCCAGGTTTCTCACCTTCCTCTCGGTGGCATGTCCAGGGTGTTCCTCATCCTAAAATAGTTAGGATGGGCTCCAAACCCAAGATTTGCCCAAACCCACCTCGGCTGCCCCTTTTCCCAGGTGTACTCCCCTCCCAGGCCAGCTTCTCCATGCACAGCATCCTGGTGAATCACTTCCTCCGTGGCGCCTGGTACCCCAAGGGTGGGGCTGGGGAAATCGCCTTCCACACCATTCCCGTGATCCGGAAGGCCGGAGGCAATGTGTTTGGGAAGGCACCGGTGCAGAGGATCCTGCTGGACCCCCAGGGCAGAGCCTGTGGTGAGCACCAGCCTGGGATGGGGTGAGGGGCTGCTTCCCAAGGTGAGGTTCCTTTTACCTGCACCTCATTCTTCGCCCTCTGGGTTTTCCCTCCCAGGTGTGAGTGTCAAAAAAGGCCAAGATCTGGTGGATATCTTCGCTCCCGTGATCATTTCGGATGCCGGGATCTTCAACACCTACGAGAGGCTGCTGCCGGCGGAGGCTCAGGCTCTGCCAGGTCCCGCGTCAGCTCTGGTTACAGAGCACGGGGTTACAGCGTTAATCCCGTCCTGAGCCTCATCAGAAAGCGGATTTATCAATTAACATTGGCAAACCCCCCGTTGCTCCTGTGCCACAGCCCTCAAAACCCAGCCCTGGCCACTCACTTCTTCACAGGGGTTTTATTGAGCTTAGATTAATTGGCCCAAATTGGCTGTAGTTTGCAAAGTCCTGGTTTGGTGCAAGGATTCCCTAAAAAACTCAGTGCAGGGCCCCAAAATTAGTTGAAGTTGATGGAACGTCCACTTAATGCTGGATTGCCAGAAAATCTTCTGGAAGGGGCAAGGATGGGAGGGGAATGGTTGGGTAGAAGGGGACAGAGGTGCTTGGGAAGGGGCACAGTTAGGTGGATGGGTCACAGCTGGGTGGAAGGGTGATGGTTGTGTGGGTGGGAAGGGTCAGGGTTTGGTGGGAAAGGACCAGGATTGAAGAAACCACTTCTTTGTGGCTGAGGACCCTAAAAAAACCTGATTTCCCCCAGGAAAGACTAGTTGTAATTCCCCTTTTTCCCTCCACATTGCAGAGATCCAGTCCCAGCTCCGCATGGTGACCCACGGTGAGGGCGGTTTCACCGTCTTCGTTGGCCTCAGCGGCTCGAGGGAAGAGCTGGGGCTGGAACCCACCAACTACTTCATGTACCAAGGGAATGACCTGGATGGAATGTAGGTTTGGCTTCACCTTGGATGTGCTTGTTGAGCGTAAGGAGATGAATTCCTGGGCAGTGACTCAGAAAATGGGGATTTGGCTGTAAGGAGGATTCAGGGGAAGGTGTGCAGTGAACCCCAGGCCTTTCCCCTCATGCAGGATGAAACGCTACCTGGGCTCGTCCAGAGAAGAAGCTGCCAACAACATCCCTTTCCTCTTTGTCACCTCACCATCAGCCAAGGACCCCACCTGGGAAATGAGGCACCCAGGTAAGGCTGACACCCAGCCACAAATGCTTGTGAGGGGTTTCAAAACTCTTCTTGGGGTTTGGTGATCCCATACAAGGAGTTTCTGCTCAGCTTTCCATGATCAAAGCTGCTGAGCACAGGGCTCATGAACAGAGTCTTTGGGTTACCTGGATGAAGGACACGGAACCCCAAAGATCAGGGGACATCTCCTGAGTTTGGATGGGGAGGGTTTGGGGCAGTGACAGGGTGGGATGAGGGTGGGCAGAGCGACAAGCACCCCAGCCTTGTGCTCCTGCAGGTAAATCCACAATGGCCATCGTCACCTTCGCCAGATACGAGTGGTTCAAGGAGTGGAAGGACAAACAGGTCCACAAGCGGGGGGATGACTATGAGGACCTGAAGAAGACTTTTGTGGATGCCATCATGCAGACTGTCTTCAAGCTTTACCCTCGCATCGAGGGCCGGGTGAGGAAACACCGGGTTCAGGGGTCCTGCAGCTCCTCTCTGGGTCCCCTCTACCTACCAAGGACCATGGAGTCATGGGATGGTTTGGGTTGGAAAAGGCCTTAGAGCTCATCCAGTTCCACCCTGTCACGAACAGGGACACCTTCCACTAGACCAGGTTGCTCCAAGCCCCATCCAACCTGGGCAGACCTGGATGACCATCCCAGGATGATCATCCAGAACCATCCTGGGATGAAAACCGGCCAGAACCACCACCCCAGGGTCTGCGAGGAAACCCAGCCCAGCCCAAACCCCCCACACCCAGGTTCCTGCAATGGCCCCCCATCCTGCTGCCCCTGCAGACCACCCTGTCCCTGTGTCCCTGCAGATCGAGTACCTCTCAGGTGGGACTCCCGTCACCAACCAGCACTACATCGCCAGTCCCCAGGGGGAGTTTTACGGCGCCAACCACGACATCCCCCGCCTGCAGGCCGAAGCCATTGCTGCTGTGCGGGCAGACACGGCTGTGCCCAACCTCTACCTGACAGGTGACGGGGCCAGCAGCGTCCTCAGAGGAGGACAGCTCTGGGGGAGCGGGATGTGTGGGGAAAAAAACCTTCCATGCTGAAATGGAATAAAGGGCAGTGGAATAATGCCTGGAAAAGCAGAGTTCCATGGTCCCAAGGGGAGGAGATATGGGCTGTGCTCCTCCAGCTCTGGGAGGGTGTCTCCTTGTCCAGTGCACGATGGGGCAGGATGAGCCCCTTTTTCTGCTGGAGACAAGGAAAGGTCAGGCAGGGAGAGGGCTGTGGGTTCAGAGCCCAGGGATGGTGTAAGGGCAGCTGCAAGGTGGGGAAGGTGATGCCCAAAACACCACTGGTGGTTGATGGGGATGGAATAGGGAGAGAGGGCTGCTCACAGCGGGACCAATCTGCTGCTCCCTCCTTTCAGGGCAGGATTTGTGCCTGGGGGGGTTCATGGGAGCCCTGCAAGGAGCCATCGTCTGCGCCAGCACCATCCTCAAGCGCAACCTCTACGTGGATGCGGCGTGGCTGAGGATGCACTTGCAGGCCAGCAGCTCCAAGAAGGGAGACTAAAGCCCAGCACCCCAGCACCAGGGACCCCTGCTCCCCATCACATCACCCCCACCTCGCTCAGCTGTCATGCACCTGTAGCAGATCTGTCTCTATTTGAAGCCGAGGGATTTCAGTCCAGAAGATGCCGTTCCCATTCCTAGAGATTGTGCTGGAGCTCACCCCCACCAAAATAATGCATCCCCTTCCACCATCATGTCTAGTGCTGGTCCCTGGCCATGAAGGGACTCCTGCTCCCTCCCCATTGCCCCAAGGCATCGGTGGCACAAACACACTCTCCTTCAGCAGCAACAAAGTCCTGTCTGCTGGTAAAACCTTGGGAGCAGGATCAAAGTCCTCTCCAGATGGGAAGGGAAGCACTTGAGACTGGAAGAAATAAAACAGTGATAATGATCCTGAGATTTGTGCCTCGTGATGGCTCAGTGGTTGTGAAGGAGAAAAGAAGGGGAAGGGAAAGCAGAATGGGAAGTGGAACAGGAAGGGAAAGGGGAAGGGATAGTCCGATTGTTGTGAACGTCTTGCTGGGGGTTTGTCCTGCACCAGACAAGTTTTGGGGAGGAATAATGGCAGAACAACCATAAATTGAGAACCCAAGTGAGGAAAACCAGCTGGCTCATTTACTTCCCACCTCCCTGGAGCTGACAGCCACAGGAAGAAGGAATTCCCTGGTACTGGGGTGTACTGCTGTGAGCAGTGCTAGTCCTTCATGAGCATCAGGGCACCTTGGGCTGTGGCTCAAAGCCCATGAACCTGACACAGATTTTCCAGATTTGATCACAAGAGAAGTACACAGCGCTCACCAAAATCCCCTGAAATATCTTTGTCCAGGGAAAGCAGCTGCTGGATGAGAATTTCCCCACCAGGAAATTTTGGTTTGGGCTAGAATTTTTGCTAGGTTTGGGCTAGAATTGGACTGGCACAGCATGAAGTTTTGAACTGCTGCCAGTATAAATCTGGTTTGGTTGTGGGTCTTTGATCCCTTCCTCACTCCCCAGCTTCCCACCACAGCCCTCCATCCCAATTCTTTTATGCTCTATGCCTCTTTTTTGATGCTTTGACCAATCTTGAAGTCTTCTTGCTCACTGCAGCCTCCTGCCATCCCTACAGGTGTCTCTCCTTCAGGGTACAGCCTCAGTCACCCCCAGTGTTCCCATTTCTCCCAGTGGTTTGTACCCTTTGGACTGCAGCTGAAATCTCACTGTGCCACGACACAGGACATCACGGGGAGCAAATACTCCTCCCAGACACCAACTGGATGTAGAGGAATTCATAAAAGTTGACTTGAAATCCCATCATGGTGACATTTGGGGACAGCAACCCCCCAGGGCAGGGCTGGGAGAAGCCCAGCTGTGAGCTGCTGATGGAGTAGGAGAAAAATAAACCCCAGAGCTGGTTCCTGAGCAGGGAATAGTGTGACCGTACTGGAAAGGAGCCCTGGAAAGACACTTGAAGGCTGATCTGGCAAAGAGGATTAGATCACTGAGCCAAGAGATAATTCAGTGATGGGATGGAATTTGCAGAGAAGGTGAGCTCTGCAAAGAGAAATTATCCCAAGCCAACCCCTTGGGAAATCCACGCTGGAGTGCCCTGGGCACAGCACTGAACTGGGGAGGCTGCTCTGAGCACCTCCAGCAGCTGCAGCCCAGCTGAGACCCCCACCTGCAGAACTTCCTCCACTTCTGGGACCACTCCAGAGGGATGTGGAGCTTCTGGAGTGAGTCCAGAGGAGGCCATGGAGCTCCCAAGGGCTGGAGACCCTCTGCTCTGGAGCCAGGCTGGGACAGCTGGGGGTGCTCACCTGCAGAAGAGATGGCTTCAGTGAGAACCTAAGAGCTCCTTTCAGTGCCCTGGCACAGGCTGCCCACAGAAGCTGTGGCTGCTCATGGATCCCTGGAACTGTCTTCACAAGGCAGGGGTGGGATTGGGTGGTCTGTAAGGTCTCTCCCAAGCCATGGATCCTTGTCTGTGGTTAGGGGCCCACAGAGAGCCCCCAAGGACCCCAGAGAGCAGAACTGGGGGAGCTCAAGGTGGCCATTCTCCCCACAGACTGGTCAGGGGGGAAGATTCAACCAGGGGTGGGTGTGGAGTGTGACAGTGCAGACCTGGAGGCTGACCAAGGTGGAATCTCAAATGACCTTCCCATCCCTCCCTGCAGATGTTCACCTGCAGCCCAGGTAAGGGAGAGCCCCTGATGCACCATTTTGGTGATTTTTTTAATCCAAACAAACCTTCCCAGGCCATGGAATTTGTCTTGCAGAGGCAAAGCTGATGTGTTTGCTTGGCTGGTGCCCTGCCCATAAGGAAAATAGCTGCTGTGGGATCAGCTTAGGTTCACCTATTTGTTCAGGAGGCTGTGCAAGATTCAAAGCTTTCAACAAAAGAAGATAAGAAAAAATAAACCCTGGGAGTTTAACATGGTTTGCAGATCGGGTTCACCGGGGTCCGGAATGGAGGTCAGGGAGTGGATGTAGCAGCGTTTCACAGAACCATGAATCATTTGGGCTGGAAAAACCCCAGGACCATCAGGTCCAACCATTCCCCCAGCACTGCCAAGGCCACCACTGACCCATGTCCCCAAGTGCCACATCCACACAGCTGCTAAATCCCCCCAGGGATGGGGACTCCACCACTGTCCTGAGCAGCTCTGCTAGGCCTGGGCTGCTGTTTCCATAGAGGAACCTTGGAGAGATCCAACCCAAACCTCTCCTGGCACAGCTTGAAGCCATTTCCCCTTGTCCTGTCCCTTGTTCCCTGGGAGCAGACCCCAACCCCCAGCTGGCAGCACTCTCCAGTCAGCCCTGTGCAGGAGCAGGAGGGCTGGAGGGCACAGACCCAACCCCAGCACCCAGCTCAGTGCCCAGTTTCGCCCAGTTTCTCATGCATGAAACGTCTTCCACCCTCTGGGCCTCTCTGCTAAACTGCCTCTATCGGAATGTGCCAGCAATTCAGCCCTGATAAGTCGAGCCCAACCCAGCTGGCAAAGCATTTCTGATTTGACATTTCCACTCATGGACTTTTGACTCCTGGGCAGTGACTGCAACACAATCCCATGGGCACTCCTCACTTCTGGAATGTTCCCACTGTTTCCTGGACCCAGGGCCAGGCCCTGACACGAGGGGCTGCTCCTGCCCCACAGCTGCTCTGCCTGCCAAATTCTTCTGGGGCCTTCCCAGCCCCCTCAGATCAGGGTGAGAGCAGGAAAGGGGTTCAGCAAGCTCCTGGAGCACAGCGAGGTAAATTTTTTTGGGAAATCACCCTAAGGACACAGAGCAGTGCTTTGAGCCCCTCATAGCAAGGCTTGGAACTGGGGGGGTCTGTAAGGTCTCTCCCAACCCCACATCCCCATGGGAATCTTCATTTGATCCCCCATTTTCACTCTTTTTCCCTCCTGCGAGCTGTCAGTGACCCCATCCCCAGGAAAACCAGTGGCCCTCCCTGTTCCGGGCCAATTGGCCACTGCCAGGACTGGAGGGGAGTGGAAGGTGGGATTTCCTCCTTTTGGGGAAAAGAGGTGGGGGAAAGGAGAGAGCTTCCTCCTTTCTCTGCAGGAAATACTCCCCAGAAGAACCCTCATCATCCACTGGGGATCAGGCACGTTCTGTCCCCATTGCACAGCTGGCTGGCAGCAGCAGCCACACCATTCTCTTTTCCAGTCTCCCAGCTGCTGCTGCTGCTCCACCAGGCTGGGACACCCTGTGATTGCCCCCTGGGGCTCTCTGGAAGAGAAAGAAGAAATCCGAGAGGAGAGCTCATGACTAAGCTCTGTCCAGAGCAGTTTAATCTCCTCTGGGGCCCTGACCTCACATCACCCCATGCCAGCCCCCGTGGAGCTGGGCTGACACTGGGCTCTGCAAAGCGGACTGGAAACTTCAAATCCGCTCTGGCCTGGGCCTGTCTGGGCTCCTTCCGGCTGCACACAGAGCTCTGAGCACAAACAGCTCCACAAAAACAGGTGTTTTCATCAAAATCAAACTGGTTTTGCATAAAGAGGAGCCACCCTGAACCTTTGGTGCCAGGTGTCAATGAACACCACACAAAGAACACGAAAAAAAACAAAACCAAGAGAGAAGTGAAAACTCAACCAGTTTTAAATCCATTTACTGACTTCACCACACAAAATAAAAAAAAAACAGTACAAAGAGCTGTAAAAAATTCTGATCCTTCCAAGCAAGGTGCATTTCACTGCAGCAGATAACAAATCATGTGCTGGTTCAAGCCTGAAAAGTAGGAGTGTTTGGCAAAAAACCCTTCTGTACCAACTGATACCATCCATGGAAAACACACGTCCAAAGGGAAAAGGTTCTGTGCACCTTGACCCCTTTGGGACATGTTGCATAAACACCATAAAACTCAACAAACTGCAATCAATTCCCAGAGGTTTGGGGCAGCCCACACTGTTGGCAGAACACACCAGCCCCAGAAAGTGCTGGCAGGGAGATTCTGGGGAAAAACCCCACAGTTCAGCCTGGTGTGAGATCTGCTTCTCCCCAGACCCAGGGCTTCCCAGAGCCATGAGGTGTGTCCTGATTTCCCGAAGCAGCTTGTGCTTGGCTCAGCCTGGGATCGAGCTGTTTGAGGTCCAAAATATTCCCTCCCCTGTTGGCAGCAGGGTGGAATTCCCACAGCCTAGAGCAAGAGAGGATTTGAAACAGCTCCCAGGACAGAAAAATAAGTGGATGGTGGAAAAAAAAAACAAACCATCACCTTTCTAAATTATTATTCAATTAAAACCAAAACAGGACAAAGCAAGCGTAGAGCACTCACACTCCAAAAAGCGCACACATTCAAAAAATCCTGGCTGGAGCAGCCCAGGAGCACACAGAATTCCACACACTGGAATAGGGTTTGTATCCCTGCTGTCACCAGCCAAAAGCCTGTGTCCCCCTCCCCAGCCCTGCCCTGAAGCAGCCCCCCCAGCCTGGCTGGCCCCACAGGAACTCTGGAGCAGGGTGATTTGCTGCAAGAGGCTCCCACCCTTTCCCCTGAGAGTTACATTCCCAGTCCTGTTTCCCTTTCCCTTCCCTCCACCCTCCTGCTCTCCAAAACAACTCCTGGAAGTCCTTTTAGCATCCTAGATGTTTCCTAGGGAAACTCTGAGAATCTTTAAAGCCAAGAAGGACTCTTCATGCTCCTCGTGCTTGCCAAGAGCCAGCAGAAAAGGGAAAGGAAGATTTTAGGGTTTGGAGAAAGTCAAGCCCTCTCTCCCCTCTTGGAATGAACTATTAGGAAGTCAAAACTAGAGCGGCAGCTTTCACAGTGACCAGAAAATGGCTCTGCCCTTGTCCAAGGTGACCAAAGAGCAAGGTGCTGATTGTTCCCAGGCCTGGGAAGGCCAGGAAAAAAAAAAACAGGAGGGAATTTAGGGAATTTAACCATCCTGGCATTCTTCCTGTGCAGTCAGTCGGCAAGTACAGGACTGGCACATGCCTGGCACCTGATGTGGTACAGCTGGGTTCCTCAAATCCATTTTTTTCTGCCTATACTGGAAAAATCCAAAGCAGGAGCCAAACAGGTACTTTGTGCCTTCTCCAGAAACATCCCAGCTTGAACAAACCTCTGGGGAGTAGAAGTACAGGAATGAAAAGCACCTCAGCAGTGTAACTGGGGCACCAATGCCTTTGGCAGCCCTTGGTCTGAGCAGTACCCATCCAACACAACTGCAGGGACTGGGAACTCATCCCAAACTCCTCAGGGATTTATATTCCTTCCTTCCTACACTTGACAAGGGGGAGGAAGCAATCTTCCCATCTGAATCCCTGACCCCAACAGAGCACGAAGCTTCCCCAGCCTGACCCCTCCTCCACAGCACTGTACCACGACCAACACCCCCAGGGCAGACAGCTGAACTGGGAGCACTGGGAGGGAATGGACCTGCACAGAGCATGAAGGCTTTGAGCTACACCACAAAAACTGCTTCAGCAAGGCCAAAGGTATGTGTGAGAAAGGGAATCCGGGTGTGAAATCTGAAAACTGATCAAGGAGAGAAAACCCAAATCTGAGGCTGTGGTGGGTCAATTCCAAACAAGTGCAAGAGAACTCACATGCTCCCAACTTGAGCATCCAAACCCAACGGATGGAGGAGAAGGAGAGGGGAGAGACCAAGGCAGCTTCGTTCCCAGGCAAGGGACAGTCCCGTGGCTCATTGTGCAGCAGATCCTTAATTTCCCCCACAAAAAGGAGGGATCAGTCCAGCAGATGGCAAATTCCACTGCACTGGGACACAGAAGTTCTGGGTGTGCAGTTCTGGGACTGGCTTTTCCAGCAGCCAGACACCCAGGGGGAAAACAAGGCAGCTGGGAAAGGAGCAGTTTAGGGAAGTGAGAAGTTTTATCAAGGTGCAGGTGCAAAACAGAAAGCGTTTTCCCTCCTTCCCGTGGACTGAAATCCATCTGTGGCAGCACTGCGTTCCCATTGGCAGCTGTCATAATCTGAGGAGGAATCTAGATCTGGAAAGGCAAAAGGAAAGGTTGGAACTACCTGAAAACTCAGAATTACTCTGCTGATCTGTCCAACTTGAGTGGGCTGAGAAGCTCCCAAAGCAAACATGAGTTCTTGCCTTTGTTTTCCTACCTTTCCTCTTCCCATGGCAGAAAATAATTACAAGCACATCTGCCTTGAAGGGCAAGAGCTGGAAATAGGTTTCAAGGGAGAGAAGAGAGTTCTCTACAAATCCTACCCTTCTCCCACTAAAATCCTCTCAGACAAGTCATTTGGATCAGTGACAAAGCTGTTCAGCACAGCCCAGCTCAAGACTGTCCCAGCTGTACCCTGGGTCAGCTCTGCCAGCATTTCTCAGTCTTACTTTCTCCATTTCCTGGCAAAACCCTGTTTCTACACCAAACTGTGCTTTCACAAACTGTCTGAGTTGGGGCTTTGGGACCCTTTCTAATGCAAAGGCCAATTGTATTTCCAACACACACCAGGCACCCCCAACCCCCACTTTGGGCTGGGTCTCACCTTTTGATCCAGTCTCTGATAATCACCAGATTTGGGCCGTCGACCAGTTTTTGATCTTTTTCCTTCCAGAGCAAAAGCAATGATCTTTGGAGAGAGAAAAATGGAGACAGAGTGAGAGGAACAGCAGCTTCCAACAAACCTGTGTTTTTTCATTCACCTGCTCCTAAAACCCTTCTCCTGTGACAAAGTACTTAAAATATGTAAATGCCAGTACTCGACCCCAGCTAAGATGGATAATGAGGTTTGCTCAACGAGCAGAAAACAGTAAGAATTTGGTTTTTTTCTCCTCCCTCAAAACCAGCTTTATGTGAGAAAAAACAACCCCAGTCTTGTGTAACCTGCTACAGAACACTGTCAGTAGGGAACTGTCAGAGAAAAGATGTGAAGGGGATTTCACACCCCTTTACACTGAAACCAAACTAGGAGATACTGCAGTCAGGATGAGGGGAAAGGGCTGAGCGGGTCCCAGTCCCAACTTTCAGGGCTTGAGGCTGGCTGCTCACCTTCCGTTTGTTGTGGTAGGCCACGTACAGGGCCGCAACAATAACGGCTGTGGTCACCAGGTAGGCAAAGAAGTGGCTGCTCTCTGAGCGGGCCCTGGGCAGGGAGGGAACACTGTTCCCTGTGTCCTGCTCCAAGGAGGTGTCACTGCCCTCCTCAGCCTTGTCCTCTGCAGCGTTTTCTTCGTTTTCCAAAAAGCTGTTGTCCTCCACAGCAGAGGGAGACGAGTGTGACACAGGGCTTCGGTCCTCCTGGGAGTTCTTTGGATTGTCCTGGCTGTGAGGCTGCTTGCCACCAGCACTGCCTTGGCTCTCACCAGTACTGCCCGGGGTCTCAACCTGGGCCTGCTGCCCACCACTGCTGCCTTGGCTGATGCCCCTATTTGTGTGCCCACTACTGGCCTTGCTGCCCTGGGTGCCAGCCCTGTTCCTGTCACTGCTGTCCTGGTTGGTGCTCTGGTCCTTGTTGCTGCCCTGGGTGCCTGCCCTGTTCCTGTCACTGCTGTCCTGGTTGGTGCTCTGGTCTTTGTTGCCATCCTGGTCCTTGTTGCCCTCCTGGGTGTTGCTGCCATTTGTGTTCTCGTTGTCCTTGCCGTCACTGCTCTTGCCATCGCCAGCCTTGCCCTTCTCACTTCCGTCTCCCTTGGTGTCCTTCTCAGAGCTGCCTGGCTGCTTGCCATCCTGGCTGTTCTGGTCTCCGCTCTGCCCGTTGTTGTTGCTGCTGCCACTGTGGCCACCAGTGCCACTGCCTGTGTTGTCCTGGCCAGCAGTGCTGCTGCCAGTGTTGCCCTGGCCCTCAGTGCCACTGCCTGTGTTGCCCTGGCCACCAGCGTTGCTGCCAGTGTTGTCCTGGCCACCAGTGCCACTGCCTGTGTTGCCCTGGCCACCAGTGTTGCTGCCAGTGTTGTCCTGGCCACCAGTGCCACTGCCTGTGTTGCCCTGGCCACCAGCGTTGCTGCCAGTGTTGTCCTGGCCACCAGTGCCACCACCGTCTGTGCCGCCTGTGCTACCACCGCTGCTGTTCTGGCCTTCATTTCCTTCTTCCTTGCCTCCTTCATTGCTGCTTTCACTAATCACATTTGCACTTTGGCCATTCTGAGCATCCTCTGTGGTGCTGGCTTTCTGTGACTCCTTCTTCTTCTTCTCCTCGTCCTCTTTGCTGTCATTTTCAGTTGGATTGTTGCTCTGGTCCTTGTTTTTGTTCACATCCACGCTGGTCCCGCTATTCGCAGCTGTTTCAGAGTCGCCATTGTTGAGTTTATCCTTCTGCTTGTTGTTCTCTGGGGATGTGCTCTGGTTTTCCTGGTTGTCACCTGCTCCAGGTGCCCCATCTGGCCCAGATTTGCCGGTCTCCGTTTGTGAAGTCTCTGCTGTGGGCAAACAGGGGGAGCAGTCAGTCGGCACCGGGGGGCTGAGAGCTGGACAGCAGAGGGGATATCGCCCCAGAGGGACGGTGGAACCCCCGGGGGGAGCCCACAGGAGCCGGGGGGAACCCACGGGGGCAGGCGGGAGCAGAGAGGGAAGGGAACCGCGAGGGGGGTGGGGAACGGGGGTTACCAAGGCGGGAGGGGGAACCCCCGAGTGACCGGGGCTCAAGGGCAGAGCCGCAAACCGAGTGCGGTGCCTGACCCACCCCCGGCCCAGGGGCTTCGCTGCCCTCTCCTGCCCCTGCCACAGTTCCCCCGTCCGCTGCAGCTCCGCGACCCCTCCCCGGACCCGCCAGGTCCCCCGCTCGGTGTGCCAGAGGCTCCTCACCCACGGCACGGGCGGCGCAGAGCGCCAGGAGCAGCAGGAGCAGCAGCGGGCGCGGGGCCTCCATTGCGGGCTGGCCCCTCAGCGCCGGCTCGGGCCGCAGCTGCCGCTTCCGGGCACTGATATCGCGAGATATGGGAGGGAGCGAGAACGGCGGCGAGGGGGCGGAGCCGAAGAGGAACGAGGCGGGGCTCGAACCTCTGGGCGGGGTCCCAGCGCGCGGGGCGTGGCCTGGGACGCAGAGGGGCGCGGCTTACCGGGGTGCTAGGGGCGTGGCCGAATGGGCGGGCGGGGCTTGTTCCGGCTGGGGGCGGGGCTTAGTGAGGCCGGAGCCCCATTGGGGGGCGGTTGGCGCCCCCTGGCGGCTGCAGTGCCCCCCTCACGCAACACCTGCGCGGTCACGGCCGCATTTTGGGGTGAAACCTGCAGGTTTGGGGGAAAACCTACAGGTTTGGGGGAAAACCTGACGCTTTGGGGGAAAACCTGACGCTTTGGGGTCTGCTTCCCGGCCCTGAGAGTCCAGGCCCAAACCGGGCCGGGGTTTCTTGCCCTCACGGTGTCACCGTGGGAGCGGCCCCGGCGCGGGTGCTGCTGCTGCTCCCGGGGGCTCGCGCGGCCACAAAATCCCCAAAATCCCCGGATTTCACCCCAAAACCCCGCCCGGGACTTCAGCTCAAATTCCCGCCGGGATTTCCACCCGAAACCCCCAAATTTCACCCCCAAAATTCCCGAATTTTGCCCCAAAATCCCGGGATTTCATACCAGAATCTCCCGGGATTTCACCCCAAAATCCCAGATTTTCCCCCAAAATCCCCGAATTTTCACCCCAAATCCCCAAACTTCACTCCAAAACCCCCAAATTTCAGCCCAAAATCCATCCAGAGAGTCCCGAGGTTCTGGAACCAGTCCGGGGGTTCTGGACTATTCTGCTGGACCCTGCCCGGTGCTGAGGTTCCAGATCACCCAGGACAGTCCAAAACCCCGGGAGAACCTCAGCAGCCTTCAGGACCCTCGGGATGGACCCAGAACCTTCTGGAAGATTCTCAGGACCCTCAAGATGGATCCAGAACCTTCTGGAAGATGCTCAGGACCCTCAGGATTTATCCAGGACCATCTGGAAGACGCTCAGGACCCTCAGGATGGACCCAGAACCTTCTGGAAGACACTCAGGATGGATCCAGAACCTTCTGGAAGACGCTCAGGACCCTCAGGATTTATCCAGGACCATCTGGAAGACGCTCAGGACCCTCAGGATGGACCCAGAACCTTCTGGAAGACACTCAGGATGGATCCAGAACCTTCTGGAAGACGCTCAGGACCCATAGGGCAATCTAGACCCTCAGCACCACTCAGCAGCAGTCAGGATAGTCTAGAACCCGTGGGTGATCTAGAACCTAAGCACCGGTCAGGATAGTCTAGAACCCCACAGAATGATCTAGAACCTCAGCACCCTGCAGGATAGTCTAGCAACCCCGGGGTGGCTCCAGAACCTTCTGGAAGTCCCTCAGGAACCTTTCATGGACCTTTGGACCCAAACCTGCACCAATCTCCCTCTTTTTTTCCCCTTTTTACCCCAAATTTTGTCTTTTTTCCCCGTTTTTGGCCCAAATTTGGCCTCATTTGATTCTTTGGGGCCTCTTTGGAACCAAATCCGGACGAATTTTGGGATTTTCACCCATTTTTGCCCCTAATTTTGTCTCTTTTTTCCATTTTTATCCCAAATTTTCTCTTTTTTTTCCACTTTCCCCTGAAATTTTGTCCTTTTTTCCCCATTTTTTCTTCAAATTATCTTTTTTTCCCAGTTTTTAGCCCAAATCATCTTTTTTTTCACTTTTCCACCAAATTTTGTCTCTTTTTTCCCCTTTTTCTTCAGATTTTCTCTTTTTTTTCCGTTTTCCCCCCAAATTTTCTCATTTTTTTTCCACTTTCCCCCTAATTTGGCCTCATTTTCCCTTTTATGCCACTTTCCCACCCAATTTTCTCCCCCTTTTTCCTCCTTTCCCCAACTTTTGGCCATTTCTGACCCAAATCTGAATTAATTTTGAATTTTTTTTCCGGGTTTTACCCCAAATTTTGGCTTTTTTTGCTCATTTTGGGCACTTTTTACCCAAATCTGAACAAATTTTTTACCTTTTTTGGACCATTTTCCCCCAAATCTGCCCCAATTTAGTCTCTTTCCTCATTTTTAACCCAAATTTGGCCTCGTTTTCCTCTTTCCCCCCACTTTTCACCTGGATTTTGTTGATTTTTCCCAATTTTTTCCCTTTTTCCCCCGAATCCTCCCCGATTTTTCCCTTTTTTTCCCATTTTTCCCCATTCCCACCCAAATTTTCCCATTCCCCCCGGGATTTTTCCAGGATTTTCCCAATTCCCGGTTTTTTTTCCCCAATTCCTGGGATTTTCTTTATTCCTGTTTTGTTTTTTTTCCCCGATTCCCTTTTTTTTTCCCCTCGATTCCCGAGGGGTTTTTTCCCGGTTTTTTTTTTTTTTTCCCATTCCCGTTTTTTTTCCCCATTTCTACTTTTCCACAATTCCCGTTTTTCTCTTTATTCCCGTTTTTTTTTCCCCAATTTCCGGGGTTTTTTTATTCCCGTTTTTTCCCCTCAAATCCCCCCCTTTTTTTCCCCCCCTCGTTTTTTTTTTCCCATTCCGCTTTTTTCCCCCAGTTCCAGATTTTTCGCCCCATTCCCGTTTTTCCCCCGATTCCAGGGATTTTCCATCCCACTGATGTTTGTGGGTAGTGGTCCGAGTGGCCTGGGTGCGGTCACCGTGCTGTTCCTTGAACCGGGGTGTTTACCTCGCTAGAAAAGACAGCAGGTGGCAGCTGCTGCTCCTGGATCGGGGATCCATGGAATATCCCAGGCTGGATACCCCACAAGGACGGCGGAATCCGGCTCCTGGCCCTGCAGAGAGACCCCAACACCTGAGCACGTTATCACCTGGACAGCAGCTCCACACTCTGCTTTCAGCTCTGGAGTGCTCCTGGACTGGTGCCATCAGTTCTCACAAATCCTCGTGGATTCGCTTTTTGGGGATGACTCTGAGAACAGCCACCAAGAGCAGGCTGGACACACAAATCTGGCCTTAATTAACACTAATTGGGGTGTTTTAATGTGGTGTCCCAAGGTCTGGTGTCAAGATAATAAAGTCCTCACCTCATCTGACACGTCTGCATCCCCCATCCCGCCCCTTCCCCCTGAGGGCTAATCTGGTCAGGATAAAGGATCAAAAGGAGAAACAATTAGCAAATGGAAGAATTTAATGATGCTAATTAAAATGGATTAAGTGTAGCCACTGCCTCTGCACCAGCTGCTTTGGCAGGAGCCCGGAGAACGTGGAGCACCAGCCTTATCCCGGTGCAGAGTGGGATAACAGGACATCTGGTGCGCCCTCCCCTCCAGCCCCCGAAAAAAAGAGGTTTGAAGAAACCTCGGAGTTGGTGGTGGAGCCCCTAATTAGCTCCATCTCTGCAGGAGACCCCTGGGACCTCATTAGGCTTTTCAATTAGTGCCTGGCCAGCCTGCAGGGGGGGCAGGGGGAAAGGCTGGGGTGGGGAGGGGGCTGGGGGAGGGGGCTGCAATTAAGCAATCGGGCTGAGGTGACAGAATAACCTCGTACCCAGAAAGTGGCCGGGAAAGCTCCAAGCTGGCTCCAAGCTGGCTCCCAGATGCTCCCAAGGAGCCCTTAACGAGCTCCTGGCAATGAACCCCAGGGGCTGGGGCTGAGGGGGGCCCGTGCCCCTCCTAGAAAGTTTTCAACCTTTCCATGGAACCAGGGAATGATTTGGGCTGGATGGAATCTCAAAGGAATCACCTCGTTCCACCCCGCTGCCACGGGCTGGGACACCTTCCACCGTCCCAGGTGGCTCCAAGCCCCGTCCAGCCTGGCCAGGGACACCTCCAGGGATGGAGCAGCCGCTTCCACCCCAAGCACAGCTCTGCAGCATCTTCTCACCTGGAGCAGCCCCAGGCAAGAGACGCCAGACGCCTCCCGAGCTTTGTTTCACTCTGGGATGGGCAGCAGTGACGGTGACTGGGAGTTACCAGGGACAGCTGCTCATTCCCAGTCCCAGCTCCATCATCCACACGGATGCTCCCAGCTCCCTGCCTCGCCAGGACCCCATCACAGGCATGCTGGCCCCTCTTCCAGCTGTTGTGTGCCTCTCAGCTACGGCAGGATCCAGCTGTCCCACCTCTCTCACGCTGTGCTATCCCTTCCCTCTGCTGCTGACACTCCATTTCATCTCCTCCTGGCCTTTTCTCCCCTGGATGGGGTTTAGAAAGAACAATTTGCTCCAGTCCTCTGTCATGAGCAGAGACACCTCCTACAGAAGTATTCCAGAGGACAAATAAAATCCAGAAGGACCCATTTTCCATGGAGAACCATTCTGAATCCGGTATTTTTATCCAGCTTTATTGCTGCAGGCATGATGAACACGTTGATCCCGTGATCTGTTCCACGATGACAGCTCCAGTGGGTTCAGCCAGGACTGGAGCAATGCATCCCTGGTCTCACCTTCTTCCCCAGGAGCAGCAAGGCCAGGAGGGTTTGGTGACCAGTTCCTTGTGGCAGGGATAATCCCAGGACGTCGCAGCTCCAGAGCGCCACGAAAGCATTGGAACAGATGTTCCTTTTCCGTATGGGAAAACACTGAGTAAAACAAAGGAATATTCTCCTGCTGAAGCCCAACATCTGTTTGAAGCTGTCTGGCTCTGGTTCAGATTTAATTCTTGTGACAGGTCTCTTCATGCCTCTAATGTCCCATGAAATCCAATTCAAGGAGCTGTTTGTCCGCAGCCTGCTCCTGGTGTTGGGGAGAGCAGGGCCGCATGTCGTCCGGGCGTTCCTCACCAAAATCAGTTTCTTGGAACGGTTTCTCTCAAAAAAAGCTCTGCTTTGCCTCTTTTCAAGCGACAGCCGTGCACGTTTTGGGTGACACCCTAATCCCCTCCACCCCAATGCTCACACGACTATGGGACACGTGGCTGCTCCTCCCGAGGAGCAATCGTGCTCCACTCCAGAATTTACACAATTCTTTTCTCTTTGAAAACAAGAAATTTAAATAATTTGGAGCGTGGAATGGAAGCATCTCCCAAATTTGGGG